TGGCAGGGGGGCAGGCTAGATGATCTGTTCAGGTCCCTCCTGACCCTAGCTACTATGAAACAACATAAGTTAGCCTTCCTTCTTCAGGATGAATCTCTCCTGTTTACAGTGCCAGCGTTGCTGGGTTGGCCATGTGCTATACGACACGTCTCCACAACAGCCTACCTACACCTTAAGATTCTTGCTATGTAGCACTGAATCCAACTACACAGGCCACTGCTTATAAGTGTCATTACAGAGACGCCCTATGCCTGAAGAAGGGTGACTGCACCCGAAAGCTTGCTAGGAACTTTTTTCCAACTACTCAGTTGGTCTAATAAAAGATATTGCATCTACTTAAAAGAACCTTGCCTGTCTGTCCTGAGACCAACACGGCTACAACCAAAAACCCAGCATTATAGAGCAGATGTGTTTTGCAAAACTTCCTTGGGGAATTTGTCAGAAACATTAAAAATAGTGCAGGTTTCCAGGTCGTGTTAGTGAACTAATATTTACTAACAAACCCGGAGGGAGACATAGCAACAGGCACAATTTCACGGTGACGGACTTTCCTGGAGTCCTGCCATTTTTGGTTACCCCTGAGCTATGTTAAACTGTAATCTGCGCATGGCTATAGCGTGAAAACAATTAATCTGTGAGTAGTCATAGTATGAATGTCAACAGGTGGTTGTCAGGGCACACGCGGTTTTTGTACGAACATTTTAATAGCACATTTAAGTAAAACAAAACACATACATAAAGCTGCTGCAGGCACAGAATAACACGGCCTCGTACCTCGCATGCTGACGCACATAATAGCTGACACAGCGCATATAATGGCAGCCAAGAGGAGGAGGAGGACCAGCAGGTAGGTGTGCAGGAGTCCCCCTCCGGTGCAGTTGAACCTCTCCTTGTGAACGGAGTACAGGACGAGAACGCCGACCCACCTGCGGGGACACAGACCGCGGCACGTCACAGCGGGGAAGCAACAAAACAAACGCGTCGCTGCAAAGCGGGGCCACTCACAAACCACCTCGTTTAAGTGTGACCTGAGCACCGGGACATCTCGGAAGTGCCAGAGGTGAGCAGGAGGTGGCGGCCTGTGCAATCCGCCCGAGGCCTGGCCTGGATGACACGCTGGGTGCAGCCCAGGCAACGGGGCAGCTGCCGCGTTAGCGGGTCCTGGGGTCTGGCAGCCGCCCAGGGCGCTCGGGGAACCGTGTCCCTGTCCCGAGGGGGAGCAGCTACCGGCGCGAGGGACACGCCCGACCCCGCCCCC